AGCCTCTCAGGTGAATGTGAATGAAGCTGCGAAGGTGTTTGGAATTCTCTGATAACAACCGACTCCATGGAAGCCACACCCCTTCCGCCATCCTGCAGTAATAATCGCCTAGTCTTCGTGTTCCTGCTCGAAGGATGTGTAGATGAGATGTGGTGCCCTTTCTTTCTGCCATGGTAAATGGAGAATATTTTGACTTCATTAATGTGAAATAAAATCTATCAGTGTATGTTCAACTAAGCTAACATTAGCCACATATATAGTTATCATCAGTTAGACGGAAGAATCAGACACTGAGGTTAGGAGGATTAGATGCTGAGAATAGATAGATCACTAATGAAAGGAAGATTAGAAACTGAGGACAAAAAAGGATCATGATGAAAAAGGTTCAGATTTCTTGGGGGAAAAAAATTGAAATGATCAGATAGTTGATTATTTTCCTACAACAGTGTTTACCGAAGTGTCTTATTCTTTTTATACCACAGCAATTTGCCAACGATTGCAATTTATTATGTATTAAAGAACAACACTCACTCAATTTCAGTAATATTATTATTATTGAAACTGATGAAGCTTCTTCTTTCGGCTGCTCCCATTACGGGTCGCCGCAGCGGATCGTTGGCCCGTATATATGATTATCCTCCCCAGTTTTATCCAGGCTTGGGCCTGGCACTAGGAGTGCACTGCCGTGTGCAGCCCCAGCGGCTGGAGGTGGATCCCTGGCTGGGAATCGAACCCGGGCCGTGGCAGTAAAAGCACCATGGCCTAACCCCTAGTCCTGCAGGGACCACACTGAAACTGATGAATATGAGGATATTATTCGTCATATACCACAATCACCAGATGATAATATTTTTTTTTTTGTATTTATTAAAAGATGTGAAGCACTTTTTATCCATTTACAGTTACATTTAATGTTGTGGAACATCCATTCCTGTTCTCACTTAAGCTATAGCAGCTATGAACAGTCGTTCCCTCACCAGCTTCTCTTTTTTCTCTCTCTTGACGTTAATAAGACACAAAAATCGCAGCTTGTCATGTTACTGAAAAACCACAAAGCTCCTAAACTAGACTCCTCTGTCCTGAAGAAGTCAGAAAACTTAGTGACAGCTTTACCTCTGCTTGTGACAAAGCGCTGACACTGGAGACTCCTTCCATAAATGATAAATAAACATGAAAACTTCACCACGTCATTGTGTGATTACACACATTTTTTATTTGTTTATGTGGAGCGTCTGCCATACGAGTCCCCGTGAATGAGCTTTGACAATAGAAACGATAGCGCATTAGAGCGAGCGCATTAATATAAACCTGTGATGTGCAGCTGCACTACTGTCAGAGCTGCTGTTATAGAAAACTAATCAACACCTTCTGACCAATCACAATCCAGAATTCAATGGCACTGTTGAGCTACTGAGCTAATCGCCGTGCCGTTCAAAAGATGAGTCAGTTAAGTTAAAGCAAGGAAAGTATTGAAGGTCTGAAGTGCTCCAGTGGGCTATATTTCATCCAGCAAAGCTCTTTGTGATGTCCTTGTGGTCATCGAGCCTGTCCTCATCGTCTCTCCTGTCCTGTCCTTAGTGAATCTGTGCATTTGTCCCAGCTGATAATGTGACGGGAAAATGCTCGGTACATACACAATAAGACAAAGCACTCCAACCTTGACAACAGCTCATTAAATAAAAGAACTTTCACCCTGACACAAGCATAAAAATGAGACATAAATGTCAGAAACGCAGGAAGACAGCTCTGGATGGTCCTAGTAGAGAGGATGATGCAAACGGAGCGTAAGATGAAGCTGCAGTGAGGGACAGCTTTCCAAAAGCATTGCAATGCAGCGTTAGAGGAGAAGAGAAGAATGAGTCTGTACATCACAGACTGGTGGGTGTGTCTCTAAGTGCATAAACAAACACAAAGGCATGCCCTTTAAGCATGTGAGCAGGCACCTGGCTCGCAACCATCGTCGTTGTTCTTAACCAGCTAGGTAGTATTAGCTTTGGAAGTAAAGATAATAACAGGAACATGTCTTCGCTCATGTTAGTCAGGTAGCTAACAAAATATCAAGGATGTTCTTCGTCCTAATCAAGGTTTTCCATCTGTGGCCTTCAAGGCATGCCCTCCCACTGCCATTTTCCATATATACATTTAAAAAAAACACCCACTTTTATAGATATGGTAATTAGACTCCATTGAAAGAGAGCAGCTTATGTGAAACATTAATTATCTAACAGTTAACTTAAACATCAATTTAAGAGGCTTCATCATTCGACTGCTTAAACAGAATCTCTAGCCCTGTTCGGAAGGGATTTGCTTTATACGTGGAGGTGGGGTATGTAATTCTTATCAGAGTATCACTGGGATTCTTGTCATGTCAGGATTATTACAGACTGCATGTACATGCATGTGGAAAGATTATGCCGTAATTTACCTTATATCAAAGAAGCAGTAGAAATAACCCCATAAACCCAAAGCATATGTCAGAGAAGCAACGATTCTTGGGGTTTTAGAAATTGAGTTCCTAGCACAGGTCATGGACGCATGACCTACTAATGATCAAGCTTGCAGGGCCATGGCCAAAGGTCAAAACAATCAGTTTAGAGTAAGATTAGGTATATATATTACAAATGATATGTTTAGTGTGATATGCATGCATCGTAATACCACGGACGCTTATATTGCAAATCTAAATCATGTTTACTTATTACTACGTAGATGGATTAAATTCTTCCAGCTAACATTTCCAGTGAAGAGTTAAAACTGCCAGAGTCTATTAACATGCAGTGATGCTAACTGGCACAACTCATTTATTTAATTTGCTGTCAGGCATAAAAGTAATAAAAAGAGGCAGGAAGAGACAGACACCGTCGTATGTCCTCTTAAGGACAGAGAAGCTGGTAAGACACTGTAGCATTTCTCACATAATTAACCTCAAGCACATAATTCACACGTCAGCCCTTAAATCTGCAGCACCAGCTACAGTCTGATTTTTAAAAGGAGCAATGCAACAAGCGAGACGATCCCTTTGAACAAAATTACCGTGTGAGATGACGTCAAAGTTTCTCATATGATATTAAACACTTTGCTAAAGAATTTCATCAAATCTTCATGATGTAACGTGGGGTTTGGGTTTTGTTTGTTTCTTGTTCATTGTTCTCATGTCTTTTATTTTGGAGTTTAGTCATGGTTCCTATCTTGTCATGTGTTACCCTTGTCTTTGTGTCATGTTCTGATTGGTTCCTTGGTTTCTTGTGTCTTGTTCGGATTGGTTGGTTTAGTCATGTGTCTTGTTCCTCACTGGTTGGATTGTGTCATGTTACCTTGATTGTTTGGTGTATATATAGCCCTCATGTAGCCATTGTCTCTTGTTGTGTATTGATGTTGTAACCTGCAGTCTGTCCAAGTCAGGTCTGTCCAAGTCAAGTCAAGTCAAGTCAAGCCTGTCCAAGTCAAGCCTGTCCAAGTCAAGCCTGTCCAAGTCAAGCCTGTCCAAGTCAGGTCTGTCCAAGTCAAGGCAAGTCTGTCCAAGTCAAGGCAAGTCTGTCCAAGTCAAGTCTGTCCAAGTCAGGTCTGTCCAAGTCTGTCCAAGTCAGGTCTGTCCAAGTCAAGGCAAGTCTTTATTGGTATTATTGGTTTTCACTTTGTTAAATAAAAGCTGCACTTGGGTTCTTCACTACGCTCGCCTCAGTGGACTGATGTTACATGTGATTATTACTCCGGATGCATTTCACTGCTTTCTATGTAGGCTATATATATATATATATATATATATTTATATTTATATTTCTGTTGTTTGTTGAAAAAGCTGATTTGAAGTTACTCCAAGTGTGCAAATGATCATAAAAAAAATCTGAAGTTCAAACAACACTCCCCTGTCTCCTGACTCATCTTTGCTAAATTTCTAACAACTTGGTACCATGACCCGGATGGCACGCTAACATCTCATGACTGCGGGATACTTTATTCTTCTGCAGTGGTGTTATTTCTGCTTAAGTCGTTGGTGTAATATTTAAAAAAAAAAACTTCTATCTCCAATATGCCAGTCATCATCCTGGATGAGAATAGAAATAGGATGAGCGCAGCGTGGCCATGGCCAGTCAACATCCACATTTTATTTACAAAAATGGAAAGACTCAAAGCTTCATTATGTATGCATTAGTATAATGACCTGGAGGAGAAAGTAACTTTTTGCTGTAGATGAAATAAAATAAGTAAATGGTGTGAGAAAAGGGCATTCAGTTTTAATGAGAGTTTCACAAACGGCTAAAAATATTTGTCCATTTGTCCAT